TCTTTGTAGTACACGAAAACTGTGTTCTTTGTAGTATACGTTGTGGGTATAAATGTTCTGCTACTTCCAAAAGTATCTGATGAAACTTGCTGGGAAAAGTTGATTAAAGTAGAGGGTGGGGGATTATTTTTTACGTTGTATTGATTTCTGTAAAGAGTGGAAATTTGAATGAGAGGACGTAGTATTAGGTTGCTGCATAAGTTCTATCCGATTTTTCTGCCGTATGTTTGAAGCAGCTGTTCTAAGAGAATTTCATGGCTAATGCAGTATTGTTAGTATTATCAGAAAGTGCTTTTCTTGCGCTTTCCAATGCATATCAAATTTCAATATATTTCTTAGTGTAGGGAGATTTCATGCCTGAAATCTCCAAATGGTCGAGGTAGGTTCTCACCCTAGAAATATGTTCTTGCGAGGAAATCTTTAAAATGCGCCCTTCAGGTCAAGTTTTTAAATTGGTTCCGGAATAAGGGTGTAACAGATTAGCATACGCATAAGTTCAGTCTTATGAAGAAAACGTCTTTCCAATAAAATTTATTGCCAAACATTAATTTTCTGTATAGATGTTTTACAAGCTATAACTTTCTGCGTATAGAAGTAATCGATAAGTTCAAAGTTGGAGGTGCTAGGGTAAAGCAAGAGTTAGCAGGGCCCATCCACCGATTCCTTTTCGGCGCTCACGTCAGTTGTAAAATTTTCATAATTCGTAAATAGGCCATGCACACATGCACTGAGGCGGGGTCAAAAAGTGGGTTCTTTTTTGCTCGTTCAAAAAATCTCTCGGCAACGCAGATCCTATGGGTTCTTTGATGTCGCAAAATAATCTACGAAAATTTCTCTATCCATCAATTTTTAGATAGGATGCCTATCAATTCTCATAAGGGAGCATTGCCATGTCAAAAAAGACTGAAGAAAAACGCTGTGAAGTTTTTGAGTACTTGCTTCTTATTAACAAGGATTTTCGTAGGCGTCAATATGTATCTGATAGCCAAGGAATTGCTCAACAGATAAGATCTTGGGAAAAAGTTGACTTTGAAGAGAGTTATGACATTTTGAACTCAAAAGATTCAAATCGGTCAGTACTTATGCAGCAACCTAATACTTGAGAAAACACCACCTTTGAAATCTCGCAAGACTATAGCAGGATTTTGGAAAATGCTGAACGGTTTGCAATGTTCATCGGCCCTTCGAGCGACTCTTCTTTTTCGAAGTGGTTTTTCACAAAGAAGCGGCTAACGTATTCATCCGACCAGCACGTTAGGGACCCCATGGGTCGCTAGTCACTACGCAATTTATAACAACGCGTTTTTTGGGGGGGGGGGGAGGGGGAGGGCAACATGGACGGTAGTTTGTGCCAGCCATGTGCGTTGCGTAGTCAAATCTCTTAGATTCTATATTTACGCTATACGATATTGAAAAGTTTGGAGAAAACGCTGGAATCTTAGCGGGTAATCTTTACCTTCCGACACCATTTTCGATTCAGCGTAGAACATATTGCTCCAAAAAAGACGACACTGCGCGGCGTATTGACAACTGTAGGACTACAATACGGTTATTCACAGGCTTCGTTCGTTGGCCACACTCTTTTCGTGTTGTGGTTCTTTGCTCTAAGGATATGCCAGTGGTGGCATGCCTTTGGAATGTTGCAAAACTGCATTACCAAGTGGTGACGCACCATTTGATTCAACTGGCTGGGCTTCGTGACCTAATCAAGGCTAGGTAATGATCAGAGAGTACTCGCGCGAGAGAGACGCAGGTGCGTCGCGGGCGCGGGCGGCTTCAATTAGATCACAAAACCCCGCCCTAATGGTGCCAAGCCAGTTGAATCAAAGGTTAAGCATGTTTTCGTAAAAGGTTCACGCGTGTATTGAAAAAACAAATGACTGTCAAGTATAGCATAAGACTGACATCACGCGTACGAGGAAGTCACGTGTATGATTGTGTGTTGTTTTGAGAGGTTGTTCCCGGGTTGTGTTAATAGAATAACGGAGTGATGCCAAAATGCGTAACAGCTAGGGTTCGGCACAAGTGGCTTATAAGCAAGCTGGATATCGTTTTTGGGACAGAAAGCAAAGGGGATATCGTTTTTGTGGCTGAAGAGACACAAAAAGTGCCGTCTTTTTAGCCGACGTTTCGTTTTTCTGAGGGTTTCTACGTTTATGGTTGAGTCAAAGGAGACTTCGTAAAATATTGGCAAAGTCAAGGGGGATTTAATTTCATTTTCGAAAAGCCACCTCGCACCGAGCCCTGTAACAGCATAGCCTAAGCTTCCTTTAGAAGTTCTTGCTTTTGCTTGTAAGAGAGCGTATGAGTGGGTGGGCGAGGGAGATATACTGACTTCATCTCGATGGTAATTTTAAAAGCATTTGCATGGACAAATGTTATTTTTGCTTGTTGAAAGAACGTGAGAGTGACTGTGCTGAAACAAATGACAAGTTAGAATACAATTGCCAAAATAATACAATTCCACGCAATTTTTGCATCTTTTTTGACACTATCCGGTTTCGAAGCAGTGTCTCGCTGGCATTGGCTATGCTTTCTAGAAAAGAGAATTATTCCGGGTTTTCGCAAATTGCGGAAAGTCTGCACTCGAAGGCGTTAAGGAAAATTCACCTCTCAAGGAAAGCGTTTGAGCTACTGGGTATTTGAAAAAATCTTGATCTTCTTTGTAGACAAAAAAGCGTATAAGTAAATAGTTCTCGAGCTTAGAGCTCTCCCATTAGATGACTTTTTCGCAAATTTTTCTTGAAACCTGGCGTAAGTTCTATGGAGTTTATTTAGGAAGACTGCTCATAGAAGGTAGAAAGGACGTTGAGTAATTAAGCCTCAGAATTGATACGGGGAGGGATAAGAAGCATGCCAATTGTGAAAACTCGGGAGCAGAGATCTGGTTCGAAGTGAGACACGTAAATGGTGTTTAAAAGCAGCGTCCGGGCAAAATTTCGCCTCCAATATTTTTTTCATTCTAGGGCTACAGTTATAAATTTAAAATTGTCCGAAACCCTCAAAAAACCCAATTCCTGGGGATCCTGTTTTAAGGGAGTGGACGAGTTTCGGATTTTTTACCCCCTCGGCTCGCCACCAGTGCGATGGGGGGGGGCCGGGCCCACCAAAAGTGAAGGTGGTAGTGACACTCACCCCCGAACTCGTCGACTGGGGTGGGGGGGGGGGGGAATGGGGGTGGGGTAGAACGGACGGACTGAGCTATCCTTCTAGGTCGAACTGTGACCTAACGGACCTCTTTAGGGCCACAGATGCGATGAATATAGCAGCAAATATTTAAAATAAACGTGTTTATTAAATGGTGTACTTGAAAGTAGACGTCAGCGGAACTGTTCGATTTTATTAAGTCCTTATCTTACCTCCACTTTTAGAAGGAAATTTTTTCGCTGGACGATAAAGAAGGAAAAAGCAAAACAAACGCAAAAAAGATTACTGAAAGCATATTTTTATGTATACGGCGGCATATATATCTAGAATAAACGTGTTTAGTAAGTGGTGCGTACGGATTTTATTGAGCAAATTATGTCATGACGTACTGCGAAGATAGCAGGTCGATCCAGGGAATAACCGTCGCGAACCAGAATTTTGAATAGTAAAGTAACGAAAAATCATGCGAAATTTCCACTGTTATAAATCTGGTGTACGAAGATGTCAGCATTTGCGACTTCATAGGTTCTGAAGAGTAAATGGTGTTCTGTCAGATAATGATAAAATCAGTTCGATTTGAGAGGTGACCGCCGAAAGACTGACATTTGAAAAATTAGGCCATTTTAGGTTGCTTAGTGACTGCTGACAGTTAAACTCATATAAATCATGAATGTGAAGGTATATTATGTTGCGACTTCATATGCTTTGTAGAGTAAGGTTTGCCTTATCAGAATATATCTTAGCCGTACCAATCCATTAAAACAGCGCCGAGATCCAGAGTTTTGAAGAAGCAAGTAAAAAAAAATCGTTTTGAACTTCAACAGCTCATAAATTCTCAAGAACTGCATGAATCATGTTGCGACTTCATGAGTTAGATTCTTCTCATCAAGAGCTTTCAGGTAATATATGATATGTGGGGGTTTAGGGCCTCTCACGACTTATGCTCGGGAGGGGAGACTTTTCATCACAAATTCTCCCCCAACCCACTTTAATGTATTGGATGGAAGCCGACAGGGGAGAATTGTGATGAAAAGTCTCGCCTCTCGGGCACAAGTCGTAAGAGGCCCTAAACCCCCACATATCATATATTATCTGAAAGCTCTTGATGAGAAGAATCTAACCTATGAAGTCGCAATATGATTCATGCAGTTCTGAAGAAGTTGAGCTGTTGAAATTTAAAGACGCTTTTTTACCTACTTCTTCAAGACCCTTGATCTCGGCGCTGTTTCAGTGGATCGGTACGACTAAGATATATTCTGATAAGGCAAACCTTACTCTAGAAGCCCATGAAGTCGCAACATAACACACATTCACATCCAGGATTTATATAAGTTTAATTGTCAGCTGTCACTAAGCAACCTACAATGGCCTTTTTTTGAAATTCTGCCCTTCGGCGATCACTTCTCAAATCGAACTGATTTTTTCATAATCTGATAGAGCACCATTTACTCTTCAGAACCTATGAAGTCGCAACTGCTGACATCTTCAAACACCAGAATTATAACAGTGGAAATTTCGCATGATTTTTCGTTACTTTACTATTCAAAATTCTGGTTCGCGACGGTTATTCCCTGGGTATTCTTCGCAGTACGTTATGACATAATTTACTCAATAAAATCGTACAGTCCCGCCAATTTTTACTTCCAAAAACACCATTTACTAAACACGTTTATTTTGAATATGTATGCCGCCGCATACATAGAAATATGCTTTTAATAATCTTTTTTGCGTTTGTTTTGCTTTTTCCTTCTTTATCGTCCAGCGAAAAAATTTTATTCCAAAAGTGAAGGTGGTCACCCTGTACCAGCTAAAAAGTGAAGATAGGGGGAGAATCAGCTCTCACTCTCGCACTTCTAATCAACACGCATCACAGCTGGCGGTGGTGGCATGCTGACATCCTCCACTTCAGTGCTCCTCTCTTCTCTGCGATTGTCATTGCTTAGTGAATTCTCTCTCATCTGAATATACTTGAATGAACACAGATTACTTTACGCAGAGAGCACCCCTACTTGAGCTCGAAAGACCACATCTGCCTGTGCTGGACGAATATTCCATTCATTTCCCCGGCCATATTTTCTCAAGTAGTCGTTCAAGTAACGACAAACATCCCTCGCGTTGACCGCGATATCCACCTAATGAATACACCTTTGATTTTGAAAGTTCTGGGAAAAAACTAATGCAGAGGTTGTTATGGTCGTATTCAACTCAAACAAGAGTTGGCCAGGGATATCATCCTCGGTATGTAGGCCACATCTTCCGCCGTTTTTGATAACTTTCCACCATTCATGACAATATCATCGAGAAGGCTTCGTGCCTATGTAAACGTTGCTCTTTTCGCACTCTCAACTGTTGGGAGACTTACGCTTTTTAGATAATGAGCAACGCAAATGGTCTTTAGGCTCTCTTTGCAGTTTTTAAAGTACACCTGGAGAAAATCCGATGCCAGCGAGAAGTAAATCTTCATTGCTGCGAAGAAATTGCGTTGTTCTTGCTGCTTCTGGGGACACGTATAGTAAGGTCTCGACATTCTTTCCACAAAAGTAACAAGTTGACTCGTTCATCGCTGTCTATTTGTAGCTAAATAGGACTTTACTCTTATCACTGTGAGCCAAAGCTAAATGTAAAGCCAATAAGATCATTAGATTGCAGTATATACAGGGTGTCCCAAAAGTAAGTACACACTTTTTAATCGTCAATACCTCTCTTCCCAATGGATCTTTTTCTGACAGTCAAGTACCATTCTATAGAGGAGGCTTCAACTTAGATTCACTTTATTGATTGAATCGCTCTTCATTACTGTAGGATTACGGTGAGAACTTCCAGCATGTGGAACCATTGTCAAATATACCCTCACCCTCTGACAAAATTTTTTTCAAAAAGTCTGGAAAGTCGTATACTAGGGTTTTCGCGTACGTCGATTCCTCTACACAACTTTTTAAGAGCGTTTTTAGCTTTTCTGATGATGTAATCGCATTTCTGACAAATACTGGATATTCAGTTATTACGGTTGACCTGGGATCATAGTAGCGATCGGGGGAGTGATGGATCTTATCCCCTTCACTTTGAGGCCAAACTCCCGATGACCCCCTTCACCTGGGCTGAGATTGGTATTGTACTCTGAGAATATGATTGTTATTAAAAGGTTTTGCAGGCTAAGTATCTCAAACAACAAGTACACTCACAAATTTACAGAAGAAACGCTATCTATGTTTATTATATTATTTATTTATCCTCGTAGCATTCATTTGGAGAGCAGAAAGTGAGGACAAAAAAGCAGTTAATTTTTGTTGCCATTCGAAGCCATTGCCATTACCATTCGAAAGCTCAGAAAAATGGGATTCGACCTAGACCGTCGACTTCTTTCTAGCCCCCCTCTACCGAAAGATACACCGCATTTTATCTGAAAACATGGTCATTTTCAACAGCAGATTTCTGCCAAATGAAGACCTAATCACTGCTGTTTATCTATCTGTGTTAAAGAGCAAGTTTTCATTAACAAACGTAGACCGTCGAATTTTTCGTAGCATTCATTTGGAGAGCAGAAAGTGAGGACACAAAATCAGTTAATTTTTGAAGCACATAAAATCCCTCATATCTCGCGGCACAGAAGACCTAGAAAAAAGTCGACGGTCTACGTCGATTCTCCATGATCTCAGCTTTCGAATGGTATAAAGCATGTTAAGGCTGTTTTGCTTTCCTGCTCTAAAAATCATTTGCTCCTGTGATCCATAAAAGCCAACACATTGTATAGGTCGTCCCGAAAGTTTTTGCGCACGATTTTCAAAAATTCATAACTTCTGATTTTTCCAACCGATTTGACTGCTTCCACTTTTATATGAAAGGGTAAGTCATGCTCTTTACAAAGACATCTCAGCTGCTTAGTAATGGTCATCTGTTGCATAGATAGGAGCGATAGAAGAAAATTGGTCAAAATTTGAATTTTCTGTGTAGGGCCATGAAAAATCGGAGACTTGCAACAAAAATAGAAGCAGTCAGTATTGTAGGTTCCTTCACCAGCTCTTTCTGACAGTGCAAAGTTTGCGCTCATTGAGGGTCTCTATGAAAAGTTATGATTTTCGAGCAAGCAATACAAAAGGGCGAATTTGATTTATTTTGGCATTTTTCAGAGAAGTCATAACTTTTCATAGGACGCTCAATCAGCGCAAACTCTGCACTGTTAGAAAGAGCTGGTGAAAGAACCTACAATACTGACTGCTCCGATTTTTGTTGCAAGTCTCCCATTTTTTATGACCCTACACAGAAAATTCAAATTTTGACCGATTTTCTTCTATCGCTCCTATCTATGCAACAGATGACCGTTACTAAGCAGCTGAAATGTCTTTGTAAAGAGCATGAATTACCCTTTCACATAAAAGTGAAATCAGTCAAATCGGTTGGAAGAATCAGAAATTATGAATTTTTGAAAATCGTGCGCAAAAACTTTCGGGATGACCTAATAAGAGCGAGGTGGAGCAAGTTGATAATAAAAAATGTGCTGTGGATTGACATCGTTATCAGCACTAACGGGAGCGTGAGCGAACGCGTCTATTTAAGCGTGATTATCGTTGTTATATGTTCATGTTTTTTTTGGTAAAAAATGCGCTTTTGATTGACAATTATGCCATCATTATTAGCACACACTTAAAAAACTATGGGAGATTGGTGGAATTCCACGCCTTCACACAAAAACCCGCTCATTTCTGGAATCTATACTCTGTAAACCTAGTGCTGAAGAAGGCCACTTTCGTGAAAACGCTCTAGACTCACCTTACCTAATTTGTAGAGAATGGTTGTTTCAATGAATCAAAAAATTCAGAAGAATAACATGTTATTAAATCTCCCTCAATGTTTTGGAAAGGTTGGCAGTTTGAAGAGGAAACGGCAGGCAGAATACTTTACAAAATCGCAGATGACTCGCATGTGTTCCAGTTCCACAGCGAGGCAGAAGGAGAATTTTACGCCGACGAAAATGTTGTCGACATTGATACAGAGTTGACAATTGAGCAAAACTCTCTGATTTCTTACATAAGGAATCCAAGCAGATTGCCTAGTTTCAATGAGGAAATGCCCAGGAAGTCCATTGCTGATCTTCAGGTTGCTGAAGATTTCAAGGCTGCTTAATTCACAAACATGGATATGAACAAAAGGAAGGTGTTAGTACAAAGCATAGCTGCTGCTCTTAGATCCCGACTGGAGTGCGAATCCAACTCTGTGCTTTATGCTTTTGGAAATTCGCCTTGTGACATTATGACCTATGATATTGAAAAAAAACAACGCGCAGCATAGTATCTACTTTTTTCAGCTATTCCGCAGATGCTGTTAAGGAGAAGTTGAGCAGCTTTCTCATCAGCTAACAGGACGTATGCCAGAGGAGGTGAAGCCAGAGTTCAACAGGGCCCAAAAAAAGTGTGCAGTATTTCCTTCCCGTGTTGCGAAAGCATATGCGATTGGCTCTTTTCCCATTACTTACCTCAAAAATCTGATGGACTTACTGGCAAAGCTAGTTTCCATTCCGACTAGCACTGCAGAGGTGAGAAAGAAATTTTCTATCTACTCTGTTATCAGAACACAACGCAAAAGTCGTACAACGATGGAGCATCTGCAATTACTTAAGGTTTGTCAACCTCTACTAAACATATTATTATCTAAAAACTTCATTTAAAGGATTGGTATAAGTGGTTTAGACAGGCTGTTATCGTATGACTTTTTGAAATATCCTAAAAGATGCTATGAAGAAACTTTTCACCTACCTGCTGACTTTCCTGGTGCTACCAGGGAAAAAAATCACAAAAGCGCTTAGAAGAAGAAGAAAGTTTCAAATCCATTTTTGACTTAGAACGCTTTTGCACGCAATTCTACTTTTACTCCGATGACCTTTTGGAGGAAGAAGAAGATTTTTCAGGCAGCGAACTTTTTGTCTCTGACATTAGCGACAATGATATTGTTGATGATGATGTGCAGGAATTGAACTTGTTCCTAACTTGTACATCTTTTGGGATAAACCTTATTGCTTTCGTTTTTTGTTGATGCAGTGAAACAGGAGCACAGATCTTCATAATCAATTTTTTATAAATTTTTAAATTTCTTTTGAAAATATTTAAATCTTTTTCAATTTGTGCCTAAATAATATACAAATTGGAGCTCTTCATACCACGCTTTTTTTACCTTTTCTCTCTTCCTCCCCCCCCCCCCCCAGACTCACATACCCCCTTCACCCTGGAAGGTCGGGAACAGCCGAGACCCCCTTCACCTGGGGAGAGCCCGGCTCCCCCTATCGCACCTATGCCTGGGATGACTTTGGGAAGAAGCATTACAGTAAAGTAGAAAATTCATAATCGAAATCAGCGGCTTCTATGACCAAAGTATGAGGGTTTTTGGCCTTTTGGGTTTTGTTCCGAGGCAGATTATGGCCTCCAATGGCCTAAAATCTTTGTCGAAGTTGCTACAGTAATTCTACAGTAATGAGGAAGGATCGGTGATTCGTTCGATATTGTAAATCTAAGTTAAAGCCTTCCCTACAGGAATAGTGCTAAAATGGCGGAAAAAGACATAATGGGAAGATAAAACATTAACGATTGAATAGTGTGTACTTACTTCTGGGACACCCTGTAGAGCGGGTGGTCAAGAATAACGACAATTATGTCACTTGATCGCGGAAACAGTCGTAAGGCACTGCATACTTCGTCGTTCCCTCGTGTGTGACTGTATATTAAGCTGTCTGTAAATCTTATGTTCACTCGCTCAAGGGATCCTACCGTATTAGATATAATAACTAGATATATCAGATTGTGTCTAGCCACGAAGCTGCTTTGATATCTAACTAGCTAGAGGAGCTCACACAACTACCATCGATGGCTTAATCTTGAATGACTTCGGTTCATGGATTGCATGAAGCAACAATCTGACAATGAGGTAGAATCATTCGTTTTGCTTAGTGTGTACAATAATACATTGCTAACACATCCGCTGCTCGTACGTCATGTCTTTGTTGACTTGTTCCAAGTATATCATGGAATCAGGGTCAAGCTTGTGATGCGACTGTCGCAACGGGGGGTCGTAAAGAGGGTACCTAAAGTGGGCGGGGGAGTCGTAAGAGGAGGTAGTTAGGCTAAAATACTCTAAGCTTAAAAGAGAATCAAAAAGCAGATAGTTTTGTTTTTTACAATAAGTCTACGAAAAAGTGGAACTCAGAATAAAAAAGATAAAAAATCTGTAGAAATTCTCAAAAAAAACATTTACAAGAGCTCATAACTCTTTTGAAGGATGTGTGATTTCATAAAAATGCTAAATGTACCGATTGTCCTAGAAATCTTGCAAGCCTTCCTGACTCACACACTCGACAAAAGCGAATATCTTTACCAGCTGTGACCATCATGAACTTCTAAATCTTTTTGTAATGTTTTTCACGGGCCCATACGATTTATCTGTACCTTGGAGATACTCTGCTATATCAGTGCAAAATTTGGTGTTATTCTGTCAACTGTGGATTTTCTTATGATTTTATGTATGGTAGCAAAAAAACAGGAA